TACACGGCATTTTTTTTTCAATTTATGACAAAAATATAACTTTTTCAATGTGTTCGTTTTTGTAAAGTTCGGCATTCGTAGAATAGATGACACACAAAATTTATGTCATTTGTTAACAATTTAGCATTGAAAAGGTAATACTAACGACACCACCTCATGCACTTTTTTAAGATAAAAAAAAAGTTTAAAAGTCAGTTTTCTCAAATCTCTATATTTCAGTTTGCTGTGTGTGTGTGAAATCCTAAAATCTAAGCTAATATAAGGATTAGAAACATGAAATTTTGTTTGCACACTCTGTAAACAATATTATAGGGACTGGTCTATCTAAAAGTAGATTTTAGAAAGTTTTTTTTTTTTTTTTTTAAATTTGATTATTGTTTTATGATGCTAGATTTTTTTGACTTTTTCAATAAACCTACATTTTAATATTCTAAGAAAAATATTTAAAAGCATGTTTTAAGTAAATAAACTAGACCTGTACCTCTAAATAGGATAAATAATCATAAATCCATCATCTACTGTTGAATAACTATGTTTGTTTTTAAATTTTAAGGATTCTAAGTACATATTGTTTTTTCACAAGATGGTGGCTATTGCCATGACAACTATGATTTTTTAAACACTTAAAGTATACAAATGTAATAACATGTATCCCTACAAATGATCATTATAAAATAACTGCTCTAGCTCTGTAAATAAAAAAATAAAAATTTTTGGTGTAGTGACATACAGTCCAAATGTAGCAGGTCCTTTGCAGAACGTCGCTCTCATCACGGTCTGCCTGAAAGAAACTCGGTCTCTCGCCAGTTCTCCCGCCTCATGTATTTTCATACTCAAGGAGTCACTTATATCCTGTGTCGATCTTCGTGTCGGTCGGCCCCTACCTCTCCTTCCTGGTACCATGCCTACTGCTATAATTTTTTTCCAGTCCCTCGTAAAGCTTGATATGACCAAAATAGTCCAGCTTCTCAGAAAGGATGCTGTTTATTAGCCAATCTTCCTTGATGTTCAGATCTTTTAAGATGTCAATATTTCTGCTCTTCTTTGTCCAAGATATTGTGAGAATCTTCCTATAGCATTTCAGCTCAAAAGCCCCTATTCTCTTTCTTAATGACATCCAGTACTTTTTTAGAATCGGGCTGTTTAATATTTGGGTTAAATAATAATATCTCTTCCTGTGGAGAAGTATTTATTGATTCACAATTTAACAATTCAGCAAAGTATTCCTTGCATATGTTACATATTACCTCATCATTATTTATCGTGTTTTTGTTTGCAAAATTTGGACTTAAAAATTTACCCTAGTTATTTCAGGATCCTTGGCGGTGCTACGGAGTTCGTTCATTGCGCTGAGATTCTTCGAATTCAGGCTTGAGTTTGAAGTATAACGGAGCCCTTATGGTTTACTGCCCTTGTGCCATGATGTTGTTACGTCATCTCAAACTATTTATAAACACTTTCTGGATTCGTTGTTCTGATGGTTAGCTTCCATATTCATGACAATGTTGTTCGTGTATTCTCGCCTTTTTTCTTTTGCAGCTTCTTTACATTGTGTTATATATTTTTTCTTCAATTCGTATGTTGCTAGTATCATTAAGCCACATGTGCCGGGTATTTTTTCCTCCTCACTAACCGCTTCTTTTCATTTTTACTGAACCATGTGTTCTTTTTGTTTATGGTGGACACAACAAGACACTCTTCTGCAGTGGTTTGAATTATATTAAAGTTTCCAAATCTAGCACTGCCACTACTGCAACTACCAATCAGAAGTAGATGACTAACATAAAAATCCACTACTGAAATCAAAACTCCCTGTGTGAGTTCTGGGGCTCCATTGTGGGGAAAACAAGAATAGACCAGTCTCTCCATCAAGCATGTCGTAGAAGTTGACTAATATTGGGCCTTGTTCAAAGTCGGAGTGCGTCTGTCTGAGCGAAAGGAACAACCAACTGCACACAAATAAGCTCGTAAAATGGATGTACACGCAAAACTCAGACCCTAGGACAAAGTCAAAGTCTAGATGGACGAACACCCAGGACTTTCCATCGGAGCTTATAGCCGGTGAACAAAGAAGAAGAAATCAAAACGTGTATATCTCATATTAGCACACTCTTTAAATGCATGGATTGAATGAAACACCAAGCTTTTATAATACCTCTCTCATAAATAAATTTGTATTATTGTTTCTTTGGAGATTGAAGGGGTATCTAGGATTTGTTTTAGGGGCTTGTTGCTGGGGCTATGATTTTGTAACCTCCGGCTGTCAAACTTTAGGTTGCAATCCGGAGGGAAAAACGGAAGAAATAGACTCTGTATATCCTGGTTATAAACTAGAAAGATTGAACAGGATATCGCCGATTAAACTACTTTTACTACCACCACTACTACTACTACTGCTGCTGCTGCTGCTGGTGCTACTACTATTACTTCTAGTTGTGCATCCTGCTGTTTCAGAACTGTACGGGTTCCCCTAGTATTTATCAATAGATTTAATATTGGCTGTTCGTCCATCTGGACTTTGACTTTGTGCTAGGGTCATCACATAAGTGCTGCGTCTCCATCTTCAGCAGCCAGTGTGCAGATCTCCACTTTCTATGATACCAGTAAAAGTCTGATTGTACCTTACCCCTGGGTGTTATTGTCGTTATTAAATAAAGGAAGCCAATGGTTATAGACAGAAATTGTCACCTACGCCGACCGCCAAAGGTGGTGTAGATTAGATGAATAGGCCAGGCCCATTTGTATTCCTCAAGGTCTTTATATCCGGTCTCCACGCTGCATTGTGGGTATTCGGTTTTGTTTGTATTGCTACAGCTTCTGGTCGATTCAGTTTCCATCAGGGTCTTCTTCAATGTTTCCTATCGGGAATATAAGCGCGAATCACGGTATCGTGATGGGTAATGGAGATTATCTTTTCAACAGAATGCTTAATTAATAAATGTATTGTAAATTGATAATTATCTCATGTTTAATTAATATTTTACCGTAGCTGCTGTTAAAGTTTATCTTGTCATTATCACCGCCATGTTGATTGCAGTCATCATCATTCATTCGCTTGTCTAAAAAATAAATTGATACTATTTAGTAGCAGCTAATGCTTTACCACTATAAAATGGGAAAGATGACCGTATGAAAAGTAGCTGTTGAATGCATTTAAATAAATGCTTGAACAATGAAATTAGAAATAAAACCTCAGCTGGCTGGAGGCTAGTTAGTTTAAGTTAGGTTAAAATTTAACTGGTCACCCTATGAACTACATCATCATCATGAACTCATGAAAACTGTACAACTTCACATACTACAAGTACAGTGTATTGTATCAAAGGGTCATATTAAATTGATGATGATAAACCTTGGTCTACCGAGCATCTCTGGTTAAACCCACTAAAGGCAAGGGACATGGCTGGATGGGTGGCGCCTGCCTTACAGACAGATCATTGTTTTTTTGTTTTTTTACATTAGTCTCACAAGTTGACAAGCATTGAATTTTGCCAAGTAGAGCTGGGCATGTAAAAGAACACAACTATAGAATGGAGCAACTACTTACGGGAGGTTTCTGCCAAAACATTATTATTGAATCCTGCAGTGATTGCTGGAGAGAACACCACTGTTGAAATTGATGAAAGTCTGTATACAAGGCAGAAAAATTGTGTGGGACGAGTGTTTCCACAACATGGGGCATTTGGTGGACAATATAGTCTGTTATCTCTGCTGCTGCTGCCACAACAGTGGGTATTTGGTGGACAATATAGTCGGTTATCTCTGCTGCTGCCACAACAGAGGGTATTTGGTGGACAATATAGTCTGTTATTTCTGCTGCTGCTGCCACAACAGTGGGTATTTGGTGGACAATATAGTGTTATTTCTGCTGCTGCTGCCACAACAGTGGGTATTTGGTGGACAATATAGTCGGTTATCTCTGCTGCTGCCACAACAGAGGGTATTTGGTGGACAATATAGTCTGTTATCTCTGCTGCTGCTGCCACAACAGTGGGTATTTGGTGGACAATATAGTCTGTTATTTCTGCTGCTGCTGCCACAACAGTGGGTATTTGGTGGACAATATAGTGTTATTTCTGCTGCTGCTGCCACAACAGTGGGTATTTGGTGGACAATATAGTCAGTTATTTCTGCTGCTGCTGCCACAACAGTGGGTATTTGGTGGACAATATAGTCGGTTATCTCTGCTGCTGCCAAAACAGAGGGTATTTGGTGGACAATATAGTCTGTTATCTCTGCTGCTGCTGCCACAACAGTGGGTATTTGGTGGACAATATAGTCTGTTATTTCTGCTGCTGCTGCCACAACAGTGGGTATTTGGTGGACAATATAGTGTTATTTCTGCTGCTGCTGCCACAACAGTGGGTATTTGGTGGACAATATAGTCTGTTATCTCTGCTGCTGCAGCTGCCACAACAGCAGTTGCCGCATTCCGACCTCTCTCCAAATAAAATTGTTTGGATTGTCAATTTGCGAACCCAGCAGTATACATCTAGAATGATTGGCCCTTTTAGAGCCACCCCTAAGGTACCCCAATTCGTAACTTATCCTACCGATTGCACATAGTTTCACACACACAAAAATTGCAAAACAGTTTCCTACTGCCCAGAAAAAAAAAGGAAAAAACCCAACCCACAAAAACTGCATCCTCCCAATTGCACATAGAGCCCACAGCACACACACACACACACAAAATAAAGAATGCACAGCAAAAAAACTTCACAGCGCACAGAACATAATTACAGAGAAGTGAAAACTGCTTGACAAATGAAATGCCAAATTAATACACTATATCCTTCATCTACCACCACCCCACCTCCCCCCCCCCCCCCCCCTGAAATATTAGACTGTCCCTTGACCTGTGGATTTCCCATTTTTGTAGTTGATGTTACGAAAGTACCGAACACTAAACTGATGATGTTAACTTGTATTGCAGCACATCATTGCTCCGTTAAAACTTGCAGGTCCAGGAAATACAATTTTGTTCTATTTTGTTTCAGACACACTTGATAATGGCATGCCAGGTGTTATGTCTTCTATGGGGGTATCCATGGGCGGACACCCGCCACCAGACATCAAACCAGACATATCCTCACTGACATCACCCACGCATGGAGGCTACTATGGGTTTGGTCCCATTGGGATTCCTGGTATGGCCACCTCGACCCATCACTCACCAGGACCACAGCAGATGCACTCGCCAACCTCCTCTATGGGCTCACCGTCCATGACATGCTTGAGTCCAGTAGGGCCAAGCTCTTCTCCTGGGCTACCTCATTCTTCAAGCACAAAGAACAGCTGCGCCATCTGTGGTGATCGTGCCTCGGGGAAGCATTATGGGGTACATAGGTAAGTACAGTAGGCCTTGAGTTAGATCTGCATCAGGGCAGATAACATTTTTATTTTAAACCCTAAATACAAAAAAAGTCAAATCTGTTAAATGAATGTGCACGCAGAACTTAGGTTCTGAAACAAGTCCAAAGTCCAGAAATGGACGAACAACCAGAACTTTCCGTCAGAGTTAACTGCCAGAGAACAAAAATATTAAGAAGAATTTAATGTATATCAGATTCTTTAGCCGTTTGTTATACTGTCAACATAAGTAAGAAAAGAGTGATTGTTAAAGTGTTATATAGAACCTCTTTTGTTAGATAGATGAATTTGAGGCATTGACAGGAAGCAGAACACCTGCTGGCACTGTAATCCTGGTTTTTGAGAAAGATGGAAAGATTTGAATTTAAAACAAAAAAAGGTAACAAATGAGCCTTGAGACAGATGAGAATGATAAACAAAAACTAGACACAGTCAGAAACACAGAATTGTTTTGTTAACGATGAGTTCTAGACTTGGTGAACAAACTAACTTTATTTCCAAAGGGTCACAAATTGGGCGCACAGGCCTGTCTTACATTCAGCCATTCGAAAACTTATCTTTCATACTATTGTATTTTATCTGGGAAGCATGTTATGTTCATATAACAATGTACACAATTTGATTATCAATTAAAATACACAAAAACGTAAATGATAATACACAAATTAAAATGTGAGTACCTATGTAGAACGTACGTACATACATACATTGGTTAGTCAACTGATTATCATCATCGAACCATTCAGTCCATAGGTGCTCAGATCCCCTCTTCAGCATCTCCCTCAGTGTGTAGTTAGTTGCTTATGACACCAGTTCAATGTTGGTTTACTGTTCTTTAGCTCCATGTGTAGCGCTCCTCTCTGACTTCACCATTTTTTTATGTTATGTTCGTGTAGTCTTGTCAGTGTTGCCTGTTCACAATCATTACTTGATTCATTTAATCGAGCCGCCTCTCTGAGGGCATTCATATATCAGCCCTCTCCATTGCTCGCTGTTTCCTACGTAAGCATCACTTGCAAGTCTGTCTGTCTGTTCATTGTCCTTTACACCAGAATCACCCGAAAAAATATGAAACTGGTTTTGATCTACCCGTTGTTATATGCAACCCATACGTACGTACGTGCGTGCGTACGTACATACATACATACATACATACATACTATGTATGTACATACACAAGTACACATATGCTTACTTTCATACATGCGTACATACATATATATCTACATTTATACCTACATACAAGCTTAACAAGATTTGAGGGAAAAGCAAATGAAAGATTAATACCTTGATGCTTGGTCATTTGGATGGGACAAGAGGAGTCCTGAAGTGATCCATCATTCAGATGATCATGTGGGATGGCAAAACATGACTATCTGCATTTATTGGCTGGATACATAATGATGCTATGTTAGCGTTATTCTAGTTTGTGACATATTTTCTTGAATGTGCAACCTCTATTTACAGTTGTGAGGGTTGCAAGGGGTTCTTCAAACGCACGGTGCGTAAAGATCTAACATATGCATGCCGGGATGAGAGAAGTTGTTTGATTGATAAGCGCCAACGGAACCGCTGCCAGTATTGTCGCTACATGAAGTGCCTGTCAATGGGCATGAAGAGAGAAGGTAAATATCATGTGGCGCCGCAAGGTGCGAATGTCCCCATTGTATTGGTTGTAGAGCTCTTGTTTGGTTTTAGCACTGGTAATTTCTGTGCCTGAAATACAAGGTATTCAAAATGATGGATACACTTTTATTTATGTGTAATTCCTTGAATGTACAATACATATAAATAATATACATATGAGAGAGAGAGCAAGGTCAGAGTTTACAAACTTAAGTAGAGGTTATAGATGTTCAGTATGGCCGCTGTGTGCTGCTCAGCATACATCTAAGTGCTGCTCGGCATACATCTAAGTGCTGCTCGGCATACATCTAAGTGCTGCTCGGCATACATCTGAGTGCTGCTCGGCATACATCTGAGTGCTGCTCGGCATACATCTAAGTGCTGCTTGGCATACATCTAAGTGGTAACCGAACTCACCCCACACACCCAAAGCATCTCTTGTGTAACTGAATTTACTGCAGCTGTGATACAGTTCTAAGACTGCAGGTTGGCCAGAGTGTTTGGTAGAGGTGGTATGTACGTACATGCCTTATTTTGACATACCACACAGGAAAAGTCACATGATGTGAGATCAGGAGATCTCGAAAGTGTATCAATCATATCAGCCCTTCCCCCAGCAAGCATGTCCTAGAAAGAAGGTGACTCTTTGGTGTGTTTCCTTCGAAGTCATAGTGCATCTACCTGAGATGCAAGGAAGCCTACAGTCTGTATACAAATGACCTAGATCTGTATAACAGATGTGCATTCAGAATTCAAATTCTGCAACAACACTGAAGTTCAGAAGTAAATGAACAACCAGAACTTTCTGCTGGAGTTTACAGCTGGTTAAAGCCAAGAAGAAGGGATCGTAATTATTATCGTAGACTTCTGCGTTCAACATCAGCCATGCTAAACATTCAGTCCTGTCTGTGATGCACAGGCAGTGCAGCTTAGGTTGGCACCTATCTCCCACAGCTCGGCTCATAATGCAGCTTTGCTGGGCCAGATCCTCAACCTGCAAGGATAGTCAGGAAAGTCCTGCAGTACATGCTCAGAGGTCTGCCCCCTCTGCATTCACAGGTGGCAGATTCTGTTATGCCTGTCGTATTTAGGTGTGCTGTGAGATTAAAGTGTTCTGTCTGAAGCCTGAATGTTTTTTTAAAGCTTTCTTTTTGAGTTTCTTTATTCTCTCATACGTGTTCTGTAGTCTTCTTTCTGCCTTCTCTAGTGCCCCTTAAGGGGCTGCTTCACTAGATAGATGTACAAAAAGCTAAAGATAATTCCCTCTGTCCATCACAGAGGTTGGCCTCTTCTTCACTTCTGGCCTGATGTGTACATCATTGCTTGCTGAGGTATACTGTGTGCTGACATTTGCGTTATATGATAAACCCATTTCATCTGCTGTCCTCTAAAGAAATCCAGAGCTGCCCCCCCCCCCCCCCCCCCCCCCCCAAGCATGTCATATGAGTTGACTAATTGGCGGAAAGTTCTGGTTGTTCGTTCACTTCTAGACTCCAGAACCTGAGTGTTGCATGCGCATCCATTAAAAAAATTTATTAATGACCTATTTGAAATGTTCTTTAAAAAAAAAGATTAATTTTTCGGGAATTTTCACGGGTGAATGACCTTATTTTTATTTGTTTTAGCATTCCTGGGACCAGTGAGGTTAGACTTTGTTTAAATTTGTGTGTTTATTATTGAAATTTCTGTACCTTTGATGGCTGCCACTTAACATATTCTTAGCTGTTACAGCTGTTCAGGAGGAGAGGCAGCAGGCCAGGGAGAAGGACGGCGAAGTGGGGAGTACCAGTATCAATGATATGCCAGCTAGTCAGATACTGGAGGCTGAACTTGCAGTGGACCCTGATGACAGCTTTGTGGACGTACAGGTTGTAGCATCTTTTCTTTTGCCTGTTGTAGTTATCCCTAATTGCCGTTTTCTGTAACTAGTATCCAAGAAAGGTGCCTGGAAATCCATAACTCAGCAGTGAAAAGAATCTAACCATATCAAGAAAAGATATAAGAAAGAATAAAAAGTAGATCTAGATCTTACTTACTTGACCGGCATGGGCAGGTCATCATTCTGTGCCCCAAAGCAGGACATAACAAAGTTAACAGGCATATGCACAGGCTTCATCTAAGAAGTTCACCATTGTGCCTGTATGGGCTGTGTGTGAAAATTGTAGAAGATGTTGTGCAAGCATGTCCTTTGTACAGCCCATTAAGAAGGGAATACTGGGTAGCTGAGTCAAACAGTGCACAGTTATATGGAACTAAAATAGAGCTCTTAGAAACCAGTCTATTTTATCACAAGAACTTGTCTGTCTGTAGGTCAGAAAGTGGTCACAAGAAGGAGGAGAACACTCGTAATTAATTTTCTCCTTCAGACTCACTTCATTGCCTCTCTAGAGAGTGTGTTGTATCATATTCTGACTAAGGGCAGGGCACAACAGTATATGCCAACATATGTCCAGATATTTTGGTATGCTACCCACAGAAATGTGTCTCTGCAAATTGCCACTTGAAAAGGCCGAGCATTTACTCCAACGTTAAACTAACAACAATAGTGACAGATTATAAAAGCAATGGCATGGTTATTTCCGGTTTTCGTTCAAATCCACTTGTATATAATACCTTTCTGTGATAGCAGATGACAATACCATCGTATTATCTTTAGAATGAACAGAAACTCATGGTGGGTTTTTTTGGGTACTAAAGTAAATGTCCCTTTACATGGCAGTGTCGCATCTGAGACTAGACACACATGTCTGTAGTCTAGCCGCCCTTGATGGGGGATGTGGTCAGCATCACGCCGGCCGCCTTTACTTCCCAGGACTTGAGGCTGGCTCGACCTGAGAGCCAAAGTTGTGGTTGTCTGGAAGTGAAAGAGTTAAATGAAAAAAAAAAACTTTGACTAGAAATAGATGACTTCGACAAGAGTGCTGTAAATGAAGCTAGAAAAGAAGACCGGTAAACTTTTTGTTAACTGGTATCCTCAGCCACTACATGGTAAGGACTACTGAGAAGGAGATCCAAGCAGTTACGGGTTGAATAGTTATAATATGCAGCATACTCTGATCTGTAGATTTCTTTCTTTGCCAGTTACTGCCTTTGCCCCTGACAGAAAAAAAATCCCTAGCCTTTCCAAGGATTTGAACCCAGGTGTCCCACTTGAAAGCCCAGCGTTCTAACCGTTCGGTCAGCCACTCCTCAGATCTGAAGATTAACTAGCTAATTATGAGCAGATAGATGCTGAACCATGCAGTGAAATCTTCATAGATTTATTGAAAAAGAGAGAAACAGGAAGGTGGAAGAACATTTTGACAGCCTGGTATCACAGAAAGCTATTATGTGTGTTTATAATTGAATTGTATTTAATCACAACTGTACTTAATTCTAGTTTGCAAATGTGTGTTCTCGTTGAAACAGAGAGACAATATGGACAACATTCATGAAGCATCAAAGAAGCAGTTGTTTACATTAGTCAATTGGGCCAAGCGTATACCTCATTTCACAGACCTTTCCCTAGATGACCAGGTCATTCTTCTACGAGCTGGTGAGTTCTTGTTTGTTTGTTTTTTATTTTATTAATATAATAAAGTAAGCTTCCTTTTTTTATTCCCTTCTTTGATGTTTATTTTTTTTAAGCAACAAAATAAAGTAACCTTCCTTGTTTCTTTCCTATAGCACCTTCCTTGTTTCTTTCTTTAGCACACACACACACACACACAAAATAAAGTAACCTTCCTTGTTTCTTTCCTATAGCACCTTCCTTGTTTCTTTCTTTAGCACACACACACACACACACAAAATAAAGTAACCTTCCTGGTTTTGGTAGCAACAAAATAAAGTAACCTACCTTTGTTTCTTTTTTGTAGCAACAAAAAATCAACTTCGTTTTTTTTTTTTTGCAACAAAATAAGGTAACCTTCTTTGTTTTTGTAGCAACAAAATAAAGTAACTGTCCTTTAAAAAAAAATTTTTTTTTAACAACAAAATAAAGTAACCTTTCTTTTTTAATAGCAACAAAATAAAGTAACTGTTTAAAAAAAAAAAATTTTTTTAAACAAAATAAAGTGATTTTCCTCAATTTTTTTAACAACAAAATAAAGTAACCTTCCTTGTTTGTAGCAAGTTCAAATACATTTTTTTGTTTTGTTGTCATCAGAGCATAGTGGGAAATTGTTAGGCCAGGTTGAAATTGAGAGGATCGACCTCATTTCTCTGGGTGTTTATCCTATGTGGCTTGATCTCTGTCCGCTGAACAACTAACTTCTTTGCACAAAAGGAAGTATTCCGGAGCTGATATGACGTTCCTTCTTAGAAAAAAGGCAGCACCAGATAAGAAACAAACCCACGACCTTTAGAACGTGAGGCAGACATCTTTTTCACTTCATCCTCGAGACCTCCACATTCCCCTTTTCCAAATTAGTCTTACTTGTTAAAGGGTTTGTTTGGCTCATTTGCTGTTAAACCTAAATTTTGATGCAAGAAGGGACTAGGTCAGTATCACCAAAGATACACATCAATTGTGTTTTACCTATGTTATTTACTCTTAAAAATTAAAGGTAATTCTTGAATTTAGTTGAATTTCTAGCAGAAACATGCAAAAGGCCGCCAAATTGAGGTATTCAAGAAATGTTCAGATCTTTAGTGATATTATTTTTTTTTTTAAGAATTACCTGGGCAGTTCATCTAGCCCAGTATGTATACCAGGAATTGTTATAAGTAGACAGTAAGGGCCCCAGTTATGATAACCTTATATGTATGATATCCTTCCTGAAGGCAGGGTAAACGTTTGTATGCCAGACCCTGTTTCCCACAGAAAAAAAATAGATTCTGATTCTCACAAGTTGTTTTTAAAAAAAAGAGTGCCGGTTCTAACAACAAAGTGTCTATCTATTACAGTAGTGTTGAAAACGTGATTTAAAAAACTTGGAGACAGAATGGGAGCCAGTACATGCCCTGGTTGTAAGGGTTCCGTATGTAAGAGCAGTTAAGATCTTCTAAACTACAAGGCGACAGCAGCCTACACAGTTTTGGAACTTGTTTTTTTTTTTTTTATCTTTTGCATTGCACATTCCAGCACCAAAGAGAAATACCGGTATATAGTTCAGCAAATTCTTAATAAGAATAGTGCTCCCTGTGTGTGTGTGTGTGTGCGTATAAGATGACTTATTAGGGATGAGCTTAAACTGAATAAGTTAGGTCGAACGGCACAGATATCATAGCAGAGTTGTAAAACACGGCACAGTGTGTCAGCCATTTTAAGGGCAAACACAGAAGATTATCACACCCGTGATATTATTTATTTTGTCTGTGTCCTCAGGATGGAATGAGCTTCTCATAGCTGGCTTCTCTCACCGATCAATCACGGCTAAAGATGGTGTCATCCTTGCATCCGGCCTCCAGATTCAACGGGACAGTGCTCTGCAGGCAGGAGTTGGTAATATCTTTGATCGGGTGCTCTCAGAACTCGTAGACAAAATGAGAGAGATGAAAGTGGACAAGACTGAACTTGGTTGCTTGAGGGCAATTATACTTTTTAATCCATGTAAGCTTCATTTTAATGTTTTCTGTTTATGTGTCACACAGGGCTCACAGTTTGTTTCTCCATGTCGCTCTAGTCGGTTTGGCACTTTTGTCCTCTTACGCCAGTTTTCACCAGAGGATTTTCCTTGGGTGTCCTTGCTTGCTCAGTCCCTTTGTTTACCTTGTCAGTGCCTAGGGAGGTTTAAGAACCACCTTGGTTTAATGAACAAATAGGTGGCTAACAGCAGGCTCTGTGGAGAGGCTTGAGCACGGCAAGGCACAAAAGAAGCCCTGGTCATGCACTGCACCTGAGTTCATCTCCAGACGTCTTGATTCATATTGTCACTGGACTTAGAAGGACGGACAAGAGAGGGGGGTTGACGAATTGCGCAGCTTTTCCTCACTTAAATCACTGTCACAGCACAAGTCATCCTTTCATCCATCCCTCAACCTCTAACCTGGGAAGTCGCTGCATGTGATCGCTCATCCTAGCGCTTCTCTCTTCACTGCCCATGAAGCTGCTAGAACTGCAGCAGCAATTTGGAAAAGACAAGCCAGGAAAGACACTGAAGCAAATCACCAGAGAGATGCGGCCTCTATTCCTTATCCTCATTGCTCAAAAACTTTCAGTGCTAGAATTGGCCTTATCAGCCATCTGCGCACTCACAAAACCTAACCCAGACACAATTAGATGAAAGGACTGGTCATCATCACTTTGATGGACAAGCAACAACATTATGGACTTGTCTGCTGAGGTAGAAGTCTAAGTTCTTCTTCTTCATCACGTTTATTGGTTGTAAACTATGGCAAAAAGTTTTGTTTATCCACTTCTAAACTTTAATCTTGTTCCAGAAGTTGCACTCTGACTTCGATGGAAACACCCGTAATTAGTCAACATTTACGACATGTTTGTTAGAGGGGTATCAATTCTCTCTCCCCCCCCCCCCCCACTTGGGGAATCCTCGTTTCTATCTGTTGTCTTTCTCTGCTGTTAGGTTTCGTGGGCATTACTAATATTCGGTTTCTGGGATAGTTTGCACTTAACTTGCTGTATAGTGATATTGTTGAGTTTCAGCAAGTTGTCAGCTCTATCTATCTTCTTCTTATCTGTTTGTTCAATCCATTTGTTTGCAGTGTCAGGCTCTAAAGTAGTTGATAGACTTGTCTGTCAAGATAGTTGTCTAAATTCAGTCTTCCACTGTGGAGGGATTGTGTTTTTATGTCCATTATGGTTCTGGCATTAAATAAACCTTACAGAATTGGTACCATATTGGTTTGTTTCTCTTTCATTATTGTGATAATGCAAAGCTGGCTAGCTCTATGTCTCATTTTTTTTTAAAACACATATATTTATGTTACTTTTCTTCTGCATTTGCCCGTAAAAGGGCATTTGTACGGTGTTGTGGTTTACAGCTAGGTTGCGATTTATATGCTTTTCAACTGAACACGTCTAATTTCAGCAAACTCTTGTCTTTTGTGACCTGCTTTTGGGAAGCCAGCCCATTCCTTTTTTTTCCTCTCACTAAGATGTGGTCTAGCACCACACACAAAAACTGCTTTGTGTTGATTTTGATGACGGTAAGAGCGAGGACAGTTCAGTAAGCACTAACAAACTACTGAACATAAAATTATCTGGTAGTACCACAGTTAGCTAACGTTTGTATTATGGATATCCTGTTATTCACACATTGAGATTTGTCTTGTTATTCACGTGGTTGCTTCTTCATATAGTTCACACTTTTTTTGTCATATCACATTATTCATGTATTTGTCACTTTGTCATGTCATGTTGTTCATTTGGTTTTCACTTGATATAATTCAAAACTTCTCAGTATTTGTCATGCAATGTATCATGTCATGTAATGTGCATAAAGCTTATTTTTCACTTATTTTTGCTATGCGCAAATTCACATAATGAGTATGTGTTGTGTTAATGTTATTTTCATTTTTTTTTATCTGTCATGTTGTTCACATATTGTTCACTTCGTGTAATTCGCATAATGAGTATTTGTCCGGTTATTGACATATTTGTTGCTTTAATGTAATTAATTCACATATTGAGTGTAAACTCTGTGGCACAGTCTTTTTGTCAACCCTGTGCTATCAATGCCAGACCAGGAAAATGACAGAAAAAGAGACAAGACAAATTACAACTTAAGTGAGATTCTTTCATAGGGTTCTTAATATAACCAGGAGAGATAAGATCAGAAATGATGAAGTTAAAAGGATTATAGGGGTAGCGACAGCTCTGGATTTTATTAGAAAATGTGTGAAATGGTTAGGTCATTTAATGCGGATGCCAGCAAACAGTGATGTATAGACCAGGCGAGAAGTGAAGTATAGACCGACCATGAAACGATAGACGAAGGGAATAACAGGAAATCACTATTTGCGAAGCTCACAAACGGGCGCTTTCCTGTAAATTATTCTTCTCCTCGACACTGCATGTTACAAGAGGATCAAGATGTGATGATTATTTGACAGTTACTGATTATTGATGTCATAATTTACTGTACTTTTGTTCTCTACAGCTGCCAAAGGGCTAACGGCTGTCCACGAGGTCGATGTGTTACGTGAAAAGGTCTCTGCGTCACTTGAGGAGTACACAAAAGAAAAATATCCTTTGGATATTTGCCGGCTGCCTAAGCTGCTGCTGCGACTTCCCGCTCTCCGTTCAATTGGACTGAAATGCCTGGAACATTTGTTTTTCTTCAAACTGATTGGCACCCGACCAATTGACTCTTATCTTTTGGAGGTGCTGGAGAATACTAGTTCACAGCCATAGTATGTAATGATTTGTTTATTTCTTCTTCTGTCTCTCATCGCCCAGGCAGAGGTGCTTGGTCATTTCACAACATGCCTGTTGTAGACCTCACAATTTTGTTGGTTTTTACAGCTAAAATTGTAGAGCAGCTGGCCGAATAGATAAGAGCACTGAGCTCTCATGTGGGAGACCCAGGCGTGAATCCTCTGTGAGGTTGTAGGATTTTTGTTCTGTCTTTGGCAAAAATCAAATCTTAACCTGCATAGTCTGGTGGCTGCTTTAGTCATGCTGCTGCCTTGCTCACTAAAGTTCAGAGACTCTTCTGCCTCCGCAGCAGAAGTAGTAAATACAGACAGCAATGGCAGTTGACTGCTCAAGTTTTCATGAGATGAGAAGGCCAGTCTTGCACAAGCCTACTTTAGTTGCTTTTATGAAATAAGAGGCTGAGGAACCATCCTGACCACAGCAGCCGTGTGATCAATAAACTGGCATGTTAAAAAAAATGCCTTAAATTTGAACACGACAGACAAAAACGATAAGTTGCACAATTTATTAACCGACATATATCACTGTATTTTCTGAGGTGCATGCTACTTACATTGCTGGCCACCTGTATTGAAGACACATCATTAACTCATCTCTGTCCAGATTTTGTAGACAAGAAGACATGGTCATGAACCTGCATTTGCCCTGGTAAAACAGGCTGTAACTTTTGGGTGTTGTTCATTTTGTATTTCGGAAGGATTAATTTATTAGCTTCACTGTAGCCACAACTATATATCTTTCTGTTTAGATTTGTGCTGACAAAAAGACATCTGTGAACCTGGGTTTGCTTTAATAAAACAGGCAATTACCTTTTAGTGAAGTTGATTTTGTATTTCAGTTAGAATTATTAATATATTTACTTAATTCTAAGACAATTGTCACTTTGTTTTGCACCTGATGATATCAGTGAAATATGCCAACCAATTCATTTTCTTAGTGTTTAGTATCTGTAAACCCCAGTAGAAAGTTCTGGTTGTTCACCTGCTCAGGACTTTAGTCTTATTCCAGAACTTGAGTTTTGCCTGCATATCCATTTTACAGATTTTGCTTACTTGTTTGCAGACTGTTGGTTCCACACTTGTCAAGTGTATGCACTCCATCTTCGAAGGAAAAACCCCTGATTAGTTGCTTTTACAATATGCTTGTTAGGGAATATGTGGCATTGCAATTAACGCTTTCCGATTCCAAGGTCCCTGGTTTGATTCCATCTGTGAACAGTTTGGCAGCGTACTGCCATGTTGATTCAGCTTGGATATTGAGAGCTGACCGTGCAGAAAGCAATGGCAAACTATTGAATAAAAATTGCCTAGTATAATCACATGCTGGGGTTGGTACTGCAACATCCTGTAAAGTATACACAATAAACTTTTTGTTAGCGTGGCAGTTGATCAGTCACCTCCACCCCCACTTTTCCCGAAATTTGGTCTAAAAACCCACACAGTTTAGCACCAATTTTCTTCTTCTTCTTCGCGTTCACCAGCTGTACACTCTGGCGGAAAGTTCTGGTTGTTCGTCCACACCTGGACTGCAGTCCTGCTTCAGAACCTGAGTGTTGCATGGGCATCGGTTTTACAGATCTGATTCACTTGAATGCAGACTGTTGGTTCCTTGCCTCTCAGGCAGATGCACTCCGACTTCAAAGGAAGCTACCAATTAGTCTACTCTTACGACATGCTTTTTTGGTAGGCAGTGGGTCTATTCTTGTTTTCCCCCACAATGGGGCCCCGGATCCCACACGGGGATAGCACCAATCAATACATGTCCTTTTGTCAAAATCACATTGTTTACACCATTCTGCACCAGGAAGCGAGTAGGGATAACAGAGAAATTAATTAGACTCCATATAAGTTTGGAGCTGGAAATCTGAGGAGCACATTTAATACATCTGATGGTAAAAAAATGGGCCTGAAATTGCATGCTCAAATTTAGGAAGGCTTTTCCTAATGTGAGTGGGTCTTGTTAGTTGCCATCGCCATGGGCAGGGATTCTTATGCATTATAGCAACACTCTATATCACCATTGTCTGGAAAGGTTAAGAACCCTTTTCTGTGCCTTGGGGTGTATTGGACATATAGTGCTAGTTCAGGTTACGTTTCCTTGACAGGATGTTGCATAACTAGCCCCAGCATTTGTTGTTTAGCTGTTGTAATTTTTCTAGGTGAATTTTACGTTCAGTTTGAGATTGTTTTTCTGAATGGTCAGCTCTGGATACGACTGTTGAAACCACTGCAAGTTGGTCTGCTGCCAAATCAGCTGAAGCTGGGATTGAATTCTGCATGAGGAAGCGGATTCACAAACCCTGTGCTAAACTTATGTTTTGTACACCTGCATTTGGTGGGCAATTATGGTGAACATCACGCCAGCGGCCTTTACTTCCCAAGACTTTCATCGTACCTGTTTAAGAATGATTCACCCCGGAAACCACAGTCAATTTTTTAAGAAAAAAAGTCTTGTCTCCTTTATGATTTGAACCCAAGACCTTTTGGATCCACTGAGGAGTGTCTAATAAAACACCAGGGCGGCTGTCAAAGGGTAAGATGCTAAGGAAAAAATTGTGTAAACAATGCCTATAGATTAGAGCTGGTAATTCTGTCTGTTAAATAAACAGTCATGTGTTTTAGTGTCTTTCATTTATTATAGTGTCATGTAAAGTTGATATCTAACACCCCCCCCCCCCCCCCCCCCCTCAAAAAAATGTAGAATGGCACACTCCTAACTTCTATTGGATTGTACAGTACATCTGTATATCATGTCATCCCTTTTTGGGATGCAATTTTTCGTCATTTAAAGCCCTACTCTGGCTCTTGCCAGGGGCCGCAATATAGCAGGGCCATAAATATGGTCTAATGACTGAACGCGGTTTCTGGGACCTCTATACGGTGATCCTCATCTACATGGTGGCACTTTATGTCATTGGGTGTTTATCGCTTGTGTGATGTCCTGGTGGGGTAAAAGAAGAGAGAGATAGACTGACTCATAACCTTCCATTTTAATTCTTCTTCTTCTTTGCGTTCACCAGCTGTAAACTCTGGTGGAAAGATCTGGTTGTTCGCCCACTTTTGGACTTCAGTCCTGTTCCAGAACTTGTGTGTTGTGTGTGCATCCGTTTGACAGATCTGATGCATTTGTGTGAAAACTGTTGGTTCCTTGCCTCTCAGGCAGATGCAGTCCGACTTCGAAGAAAGCTCCCAATTAGTAAACTCTTATGAAATGCTTTTGTGTAGGCAGTGGGTCTATTCTTGTTTTCCCTATAATAGGGCCCTGCAAGCCCTGTTCTTAATCACCAGTTGCAGAATCATCATTCCAGACAGGGTTACACATTGATTGTAATGTATCTCCCTTGTTCATTTTCAGTGATCAGGACAGATCACCAAAGATGTGAGCATTCCATGCACAGGAGCTGCACAGTAGAAGTGATGATTCTATGAATGGCAACTGTTGGTGAATGAAAGTCTTCATCTCTCAACCATCTCATGTGTGAATCATTGAGAAATAAGTCTTTAATGTATATCAGCCACTGGTGAATGAATTTGATGTGAGAGCAACTTTTGAAAATTTTCTTGAATAAAACTGTGAATAGTTGTGAAAATCTTTGAAATCATGTTCTGATCACAATATGTCAGTTATGCATGTTATAATTGCTATGTAACATTTTGTTTCTTCTTCTTCTTCAGTTGGGCTGCTTCCATTAACTGGCATGACAGCAACAAATCTCCAAGGGTTACCTAAAGTTGTCCTGGGTTCTTTTTTACCTCCATCTCTGATTCTCTTTCCCATGCATTTCTGCCCTCCTATTCTTTGCCCCCCAGATACCTCGGAGTGATAAAGTGAATCTTATCAGAACTATTTTTTGGCCAACCCTATGCTATCAATGCCAAACGTGGACACTTACATCCTCCAATGAACGTAAAATTGTGACAACAGAGATGAAATAAATGCCTTAGAAGAGCTGCAGGAGTTTCAAGGAAAGACAGAATATGAAATCAGATGAATGCTAGGAATAAAGCCAGTCTTACAGGTCATCAAAGAACAACAAATGAAGTGGTTTGGACACCTAACAAGAATGCCGTGGTACTATCTGCCACAGCGAGCCACACTTAAATGTTACAACAGGTATAGAGCGAGGGGAAGACCTCGGAAAATGTGGAGTGATGGCATTAAGAACAGCCTTACAGAAATGAACATCAGTCTTAATAGTACTCTTGACAGAGCTCATCAACGAACATTACATCTCCCCCCGACACTTTGATGAGGTACAAGGTGAAAGAGAAGAACACCACCCCAAAATAAGTCTGAGTCTTAAATTAATGTTTGCTCTAATAGACGCTTGAGTGCTTATTTTCAAGGAAATGTATTTTTTCATGTTAAAAAAATCTATATTTAAAGCATCAGTGTGATTAATAATATTTGTTTGTATTTAATTCTGTATTTATTTCTTTTCAATAATCAGTACCAAGATCATGTTTTTCAGCTAAATCTCTCTGGCCAGTGGTCTTAGATAGTTTCTACATTTTGAGTAGCGCTTATGTTACGAGCATTCTGAACAGTCTTGCCAGGGCTCATTTTCAGGTTCATTCATTCATTCAGTAGCATGTCCCTCGCGGAACCTCGCTGCCATAACAACCCTCCGGAAAACCTTCCTATCCTGAGCAAGATGTCCTGCGTCTGATACACCCATCTGGAGATCATCTGCCACATCCTGCACCCATCTTCTCCTTGGCCTTCCTCTTCCTCTCTTCCCAGGCATATACCCCTCCATTATTGTTCTCTCTAGACTTCCATGACGTTTCAAGTGACCAAAATATTTCAATTTTCTTTGTTTTATTGTCTTTACTAGCCAACCCTCTTCAATATTCAGCTCTTGAAGTATGGATGCATTTGTTCTTTTCTTCACCCAAGATATTCTTAGAACCTGTCTGTAACATTTATATTCAAATGCATTTATGCGCTGTTCCGCTTGTTTAGTAAGTGTAGG